CAGTGGGTAGAAGCTGGTGGCTCTGCACTGAAGAAAGCAAAGACAATTGCATCGGCTGGAAAGGTTATGGCTAGTGTTTTTTGGGATTCCAAAGGGATTCTTTTAATTGACTACCTGTCAAAGGGTCAAACAATTAATGGGGAATACTATGCACATCTTCTTGACCAGCTAGATGAAAAAATTAGAGAGAAAAGGCCTGGTTTGCAAAAGAAAAAAAATCCTCTTTCACCAAGACAATGCACCCACTCACAAAGGTGCTTTGGCAATTGGAAAATTGAGGGATTTGAAGTATGAATTATTGGAACATCCTCCCTATTTGCCAGATTTGGCTCCCTCTGACTTTCATTTATTCCCAAATCTTAAAAAATTTTTGGCGGGAGAACATTTTGGATCAAGTGAAGAGGTGATAGCAGCGGTAAATGGATATTTTGAAGACCTTCCAGAATCGCACTTCAGGGATGGAATACTGTTATTGGAGAAACGTTGGACAAAGTGTATTGAACTAAAGGGAGACTACATTGAGAAATAAATGCACTTTTAAAATAAAAAACTCATTTTTTCACTACTAGGCTGAGAACTTTTCACCTTGCCCTCGTAAGATTGAACTGCGGCCTACCGTAGGACTACTGTTCAAGCCATACTGCCCAGCAACATCAGACATCTTCTGCCCACTCTCTACCTTTGCTATTATACTCTTACCTTTTGAAAATAAAAACCAATGCAAAATGCAACAAGCGCCCCCCGACAGTCTCGTGAATATTATAAAAGAATTGTTTCTATCAGAAAAATAAGAGGGTGGAATTACAAGGGCGTGTTTCAAAGTTCAGAGGAATATTATCCAATCAGTATATACCGGGTTGAGCATCGATGTCAACGTCTCCCGCACTCCAAAAAGTTTTGAATTGTTGCCTAAAGACAAGGGAAGATTAATTGGTATTCATTATTTTATGTTGCTTCTTCTTGTATTTGTTCTGTGAGGTGTTCGTTGACTGAACATAAAAATCTTTCGTGAAAGTGTTTGTTATCCAATTTGTTCATTAACCAATCATCCACTGTATTGAGAAGCTAATGCTAAACCACAAAATAGCTTGCTTGATTCAATCATATATAACTTTCTAATGCCAATTCTGACTAACACTGGTCTAGAATTAATATAACAAGATTATATAAATAACTGAAGATGTATATTTGTATATAATGTTAATTATATAAATTATTATCTATTATATGAAAATAAAAATCTTAAATTAATTTCATATTTTAGCAAATGTTAATAAATAACAAATTTTGTTGTTAAAAGAAAGAAATATCTCAAAATTATTCAATAAGAAATCTTTACATATATAAGATTTTTAAATCAGACAAAATAAAATCATCATAGTCATAGTAATATTAAACAATTTTATAGTTTAACAAGCAACATGAAAATGTAAGATATATTTCATATTGATTATATCATTATATGAAATGCATTATATTTTTAATTTGTAGGAAGAAGTAAATAAAAATATTAATCATTCAAAAATTGGATGGTATTAGTTTTATTGATTACACACAAAAAAGAAATTATTTTGGGCATCTTTACAATGTATAAATTATTGCAACTTAAGATATATTTTATGAAATTAAAAATTCTTTTAATAAACACTTTCAAGATCCCTCAAGCATCATCTTCAGATCTAGACTATTTATTTAGAACAAGTTTCTAGAAGAAAATGTTTTCATTTTGAGCCTTACAAGCCCAATTTTAAATTAAAAACAATAAAGCATTAGTTAAAGTTTTACAGGAGTAGTTATTAATTAAGATTAGTAATATTGTCATGCATTAAGAAAATTTGCAGGCTGTCAAACACAAAGCTGTTAAAAATACATGCTTCAAAACAGGATAGAAATAACAATAGTAAGATATCCAATACTATATAATCTAAGAATGAAAAAGATTCAAGTCCATTGGTAAAAAGTCAAGAATTTACAAAATATCTTTAATATACAAATCACAAGAAATGTAGAAAAAATACATATACAGCACATAATGAATTCTAGAAACATGACTTGCATGACATATGTGTAAAAACAGAAAAACTACAACTCTGACTAGATGGTAAGATGGAGAAGTTAAACAGAAAAAAGCAACAATAATACTCTTTACAGGAGCACTTCTGCTATGGACAGCTGAAAAACTGTACAGCAACCAAATTAATGAAACACAAAGGATTAACTTCAGATCTGTAGATATGGCTTTTAAAATATATATAATAAAATCATTGATAAAATTTTAAATAAGTTTGACGTTTAACATGCTTATGACAAAAACTTTTACACCAATGTTTGACAAACTCTTACATATGGCATTTAGAATGTTTTAAAAAAAATGTATGCAGGTTGTTCTGAATTGTATTCCATTTCGAATGGCTAAAAGTGACAAATTAGAACAAAATGTTATCTAAAGATAAAGCATAAAAGCTTTAAAAAAACATTGACAAGTAGTTTTAATTGCCTCTACAAAGTGAGTTATATGTATTATTAGCTTATAAATATAAACTTGGAGTTAATATGCATGTTAGCCATTAAGAAAACTACCTAAACATCTATATCTACTCAAATATCTTAAAATTCATACCCATGTATTCATCACATTTCCTTCACATTTATTTATTACATATTCGTCAACTCCTTGCCATAATAAATTCTTTAGCATTTCTGACTAGAAAAACCTTAATAGTATGAAACACCACAGGGATCTCATTCTGTTAAAGTTCAGCATCATTTTAATAGTTTCCTCGACAAAGAGGAAGCTATTAAAAGTGTTAACTTTTTAACAACTTAAGACATATAAAACTGATTTTTTTTGCAACAATTATATAACTCTTAAATTTACAAAAAAAATATCAATCACCCTATTAATTATGTTTCACTTATTAGCAAAAATATAAATTATAATTATTTTTTACAATTGATAACAGAAATTTATAACAGATGTTCAACTTTTATTTATATGATTTTTGATAAGAATACATAGCAAATGCAAATCTGCTAATTCTGATATTGTTGAGTTTTTTCAATAAACCTTTACAATTTCCATCATCTAAAAAGATGATGGAAATTGCAAAAGTTTATTGAAACTATAAGGATGAAACTTAACTACTAATGATCTTTAGGTTACAAATCTTACATCATCTAATAATACAGTCAAGTCCGCATAAATTGTCACAGGTATAACTAGCCACCGCCAGTTAAGTAGTCAGTTTTCTGTGGTCCCGGCTGACTTACATAGGCATTAATGTTAAAAAACTGGTTTAATCAACACCACTTAACTCGTCACCACTAGATAAATTGACATACTTTTGCTGTCCCACACTTGTTTTGATGTCTGATAAGTTGACTCCCCTACTGAAAAAAATGATTTTCCACCACACAGTAAGCTGTACAGTGTGAACTCATTTTTTTCAGGAGGGGATTCAAATTATTTATTAATATATACATATTAATAAAAATGCCTTAACATTTTATGTATTTTTATATATAAAATAATANTATATTCTTTATTTTCTTATAAAAGTTAAAATTAAAGAATTATTTATCATAAAAAGTTTTATTGTGTAGAACAAAATACAATTAACTTTACTACCTAAATACACAGCTAAAATCTTACCAACTAGCATTTCAAATTAAAAATTACTAAATATTTTAATATTTGCTTCAAAACATGTATATTAAATAAATACTTTATAATATTTTAAAAGCTTTTTAAGGATTGCATATTTTAAACATTATTATCATAAGTTATTTAGTCATTCTTCTATATTCTAATAGGTTCTGTCATTTTAGGTTAGTGAGGAAGACAAATTAAAATTAAACGTACCTTCCGCTAAATAATTGTTTCCGGAATCTCAAAATCGGATTAAAGTGACAAATGCATTAGTGTTATGTGATTTATATGCTGCAGAATTTCCTCACTTCGTATGAAACGTGATAAATAAATAAAGGAATGACACTTCTATGGTTTCCTCTTTAGTTCCTATAATTTAATAAAAATAACTCTAGAATTTCCTCACTTCGTATGAAACGTGATAAATAAATAAAGGAATGACACTTCTATGGTTTCCTCTTTAGTTCCGTTAATTTAATAAAAATAACTCTACTCAATAAATAAATAAGAAATTATGAATAAAATAACGGTAAATTTTATTATAAAGGAAGTGTTTTATTCATTTTACAAAAAGAGAATGCAAAATGAGAAAAGTTTTTCTGGTTACAACAAATAAATATTTGTTTGTTGTAATAAGAAAAACTTAAATGATGAAGTTCTCCATAATAAACTAAAAAATGTATTTAAGTATAAAAAAAGTTAACTTTTTTAAAGTTAATTTGAGAAAATAATATTCATGTGAGCATAAACATTTATTAATAGAAATAAATACAGACTGTACAAAGAAAAGAAAATGTTAATATTGCCCCATAAACAGATATGTATCAACTTCCACTATACAAAGTAAAAAAAATCAAACATCCTAAAACTAATCAAGATAAAATTCAAATAAAACAGAGGAAGAAAAGTTTAAAAATTCTATAGGAAAGTCAAATTTGGGTAATATAGTACATAATATCTGGCAATAAATCGATTATTTTAGAAAAAAAAAAGAAATCACTAGCACTATCATATATAGAATGATTACATATTTATTCTTTTAATCTGTTATCAATGATTATATCTGTTTTTCTAATAAATTAAATAATAAAGTTTTGAATACATTTAAATGCATAATTTTTAATTTCTAGTGATGCTTATATATTTAATTCTTTCTGTAATACATAAATTTCAATGAAAACCATAGAAAATTTTAAATTGAATTTTAAATATTGATAAATGCAATTTTGAGATTACTTTTGAAGATATATGAAATTTTTGGCACATATATCTAACATATCTGTGCCGTGTTATTTAACATTTATCAAATATTTAATTCATACTTTAAATGAACATTTTAAGTATTACATACCCTTTCTAAGTCTTGCCTCCAATGAACAAACATTTTCATTTTTGCATAATCTTTTTCATTTCTTCCTATGTTGTTTAATTCATCTATTTTGGGCATTAATAAGGGTCTATTGAAATTTGCCTAAAATAATATAAAATAATCATATAATAAACAAAATTTACAAATCTGTCCAATATATATATAAATAAGAGAACTTTGATATTGTAAATAAATAATAAATCTTTGAACAAAATTACCATATTTCAGCCAATTCATTCTTATAATTTTTAACAATTTTCACATAAATAATACAGTATACATATATAAAAAATTTTAAATATTTAATAGAAGAAAAAATTTAAAAATAAATATAAGTTTGTAAAATGAAAAATAAAATTTATATTTTAAAAACTCTAAACATAACGTCAGAAAACAAGGTAAATTAATATAAAAACAACATTTAATAAAAATATGAATGTTAGATAAACATGTTCATGGTTGAATCACTTTATTAAAGAGAGTACAACATTCTGATTCAAACAATGAATAATAGAATAAAATTAATTAAAATTTATCTTACTGCATTATCATCACTGTAGAGAAAGAAAAATATTGTGTTTATGAGTACAGTAAAAACAAAAAATGTATTGTTAAACAGAGATTTAACACAGTAGAGGGTAACATTCAATTAGGAAAAATTTTACATTAAGCTAATATGTATTATGCAGGGAGCTATATTTCTTCTTATTATATCAATAATTGCTATAAGAAGATATGGCTGTAAATATGTATATAAATTTTTTTAATATATTGTTATTGTTTTTGTGAAAGAACCAATTGTAAAGCTTTTAAAGACACCTTAGAAATATGAATATCAACATTCTTGTTTTCAAATAAGTCTAAATTTAATACTTAAAGAACTCTTTTACTTTCTAAAGTGCACAAACTTACAAATTAATCAATTATTTTGTAAAGTTTCTCAAGAAAAGAAAAAAAAACGTATTTTCAAATCTGATAAATAAAGCTAAAAGTAAAACTGCTTAACATATGCACTTTTCATAAATAAAAAACATTTGTTAGTGGTTAAAAAAAATAACAGAATAATCATTAAATTTAATTACTTTAACTGCTTCAATTAAATGAAAGTTGCAACTTACCTTTCTCTTCAATTTCCAATACTGATAAACAAAATCAACAATTATCTTATCAACCTTAAGGCATTCAGCAATATTAACAACACTTATTCCATTGTAAAACTCTGATGTGTCAGATTTATACCTGAAACTTAATTTTAAATATTGATATAGTATTCATTCAATACATAAAATACAACAATATAAAAACAATTTTCAAAATTCATTTAAAAATATTTAAATTTAATCAATCTGATAAGAAAATTAAAGTTTATGCTTTAAAGGTTTATTATAATTGAAATTACATAAGTTATCATAAATAAAACAGTAAAACTGTAACTTAAAATTTCAAAAATCATATTCGAATACAGGAGTCAAGTGAAATTTTGTTTCTTCCTATACTTTTTATAATCTCATTTTATGAGTATTTATTTTTAATCTGATATCTAAAATAATTTCAATCATACTTTCCCTCTCTAGTCTCTAACTGTAAATCTGCTTTATTCATATTTAATCTTTTCAATAATTTCTTGACATCTATGTAATGTTTACTTAATTTATTTGAATGTGTACAGTAACAATCAGTCTTTCATTCCAACTTTATTCTATGATTGAAATAGTCACAAAAAGTTTAATTCAAAGTTTGATGATTTGTATGATTGCATTTCTTCTGATTTCTTTCAATATGAAATAGTTTTACATGCCATATATTATTAAAAGCTAGATGTATTTTGATGTTTAATTGAAAAAAATCAAATAAAAAATTAAATTAAAATAATTTATTGAATTTTGTTGATAAGTTAAATTGTCCCTCCTCTACAAATGAAACTGAAATATTTTGTTTGAACAATTTTATTATATTTATTAATTTATTGTATTATTTTTACTGATTTTTAAGATCTAGAATTAATTTTCCATTTTTTCACATGAGCAGTATCTTTTTTATGTAGACTTTTTGGGAACATTTGAATCAAGTCTGTATTTAAATATTATACTGTATATCAATTCCTATTTATCAAACTTTTGCATTTCAATATGTTCAAACAATGAAAACTCAATATGTATTTTAACAAAGTGCAACTAAAATATTTTTGTCTAGTTTAGTTACTTTTTTAGGTCTATATATCAAGATTTCATGCATTTAGTAAATAATTCATTAATTAAAATTCATATCCTGTTTTGTAAATACCTCTTTTATTACCAAATGAACATTGTCATGAATACTTTTCATGTCATTTCAAATGTGCACAAAACAACCACTATTGTATGAAAAAAAACCTTAAACAGAAATATATCAACTAAACATTATAAAGTTTACTATAAATACACATAATATTTCATTTAGTATTCATTATGGGTACAGTTGGAGGCAGTTGGGTGGTGAGAAACAGAACCCAATTTATCCAGTGCAACCAACTCATGAAAAACTCCTGGGGTTGCTCATCCCAGAATTGATCCAAATAGCATCCCCAAAGCAGTAGGATGTCTCAACTACCTTGGCCATCTAACCATGAAGTTTCTAACTTTGAAACCACCTTAAAGAATAAAAATATATTTTCTATAGCTGGAACTTTTTAAAGGAAATGTGCAAAAGGTCAATGCAATACACCTTGAATAATTTCCAAACTTTTGATTCCTTGGACATTTTTTACTTCCATGTACTTTTTCTTAAATCTTCATAAAATAAATAAACAAACATAATATACATATTTTGCAAACATGTTGCCAGACTTGTGAAAAAATATTTGATTATTTTCTGAATCAGCATACAATTTCTTTTTACGATGTAAAAACTAATTTCAACTTTCTGCACTGCAGTCTTAAATTGACTTAAAAATTTTGTTATGCAAGCTATTCATATATTACAATACTAACAATATTCATATATTATGTCAGTATTGTAGATACAACAGCAAAACTACTGTTTGTATTTAGACTAAACATGATAGTTGTATTTTACCTTCACTGATTTGTAAATATAAAAACACAACCAGTAGGTTATGTTTAATAATTATGCTTTGATGATCAACAACCAGCAATATCTATTTAATGCTGTTAAAATATACAAATTTTGGACTTAGACTCAAAGTTTTTAGATAAGTGTCATGTCATTCTTCTCCAACTGTTCTTTAATTCCACTTTTCATTTCATTCTCTCTTGTTTCTTCTTAGCAAACCTTGTATTTAGCATGAGCAGCAGCTTGAGCTATTAAAAGCACAGTAGCTCTTTAGTTATAATAACTATCTCTGCTATTTTTCCAAACTTTTACAGTATTGTTGCAATCATTACTGAATTTAACATACATTCATACATTGACGCTCTTAAGTTTATTAAAGTTCATGCAGAAATTGAAAATCAAGAAAAGAAAAAAATTCATCCATATTAGGAAGTTAAAATATAGATGGATTTTTCTTAGCATGAATAATAACTGTTATGGCCTAAAGCTTGAAGTGCAAAAGATGAAATTCAATGAAAGAACTTATATCTTCAATATGTTTTGTTATTCACTTTATTATATATTAAATTATTACTATAAGTTATTGTAAAACATTATTATTAAAGTTATATTTTAAATATTTTATTAAATAAAACATTTACTGAAAGTAAAAATTGTATTAAATATTTTTCAACAACAAAGTTGATATGTAAAGTTTTATTATACACGTATACACAACCTTAATGTAGCACCTTCCTAAATAATTCCTCTCTCATAAAGTGTCAACAAGTACTTTAGAACAGATGTTCCTTATATATGTTACTATAAGAATCTGAATTACAGCAAAATATAGAATATACATATATATCCTAAGATTTACCATGCATCTTTGATAAAAGTCCAAAATAATTAAAAAACTGTTTTCATTTTGAAGTTTTACCAGTCAATGTTGGTNACTGTACTGCATGGGTCGCCAAACTTTTCTGATTGTCAACCCCGTACAAGTTCTCGAAACATCACATCGACCCCCACCAAAAAGTTTATGTTACAAGCAAAACAAAGTACAGTAGAGCATCGATTATCCGACCCCCGATTACGTCACATCGGTTAATCGACCATTCTAGTCGGCAAATTTCAAATGTCCGCTAGTGATGTGGCGCTACAATATTTGGCTATGTCTTGGATACTTTAATATTATTTTTGTTAAATTTTTGCATTTTTTAGCTGGCATCAACGGCTTGACCATTGAAGGGAGGCCAATATTTAAAAGAGACTTAATTTTCAAATTATGAGTGGTTGTTTGTTTTGTGAGCAATAAAATAATTTAAAAATAATTTTTAACGATACAATAGCAACGATTATTATTTTAAAAAAATTTGTTAGGCTAAACATCGATGAAAATTCAACACAAAGTTGGTTACTAGCAAAATACTAATATACTAATTACATGGGATATCCTAATATACTATACTAATAATGTATTTTTTTCATTATTTTCGGTTATCCGACCAACCTGAGTCCCCAATTGAGTCGGATAATCGATGCTCTACTGTAAATCCAATTTTCTTTGTTTTGATCTTTAAAGTCACACCTTGTCCTATAAGCAAGATCATCTTATATGTGAGTAAATATGATATATTTTATATATTTTGTATTATATATAATGTAGTTTATTAAAAAATTTTTCTTCTGATGGTGTGAGATCACTGTTTGCTTTATCTACTGGTATTATAATCATCATTTTAATTGTATTTCAGATGAGAGTTTGTTACATTTATTTCCTTTATCTTACGTTCTGATCTCACACCATCTATTTTAATTGTATTTGTATTTTATCATTTTTCTAAGTTTAGTTACTATTATTACTTCTTTGTTTTATTTCTTTTTTAATTTTTTGATATATTTTTATATATATTATTTCTCCCATTATTTCTTTAACTATTCCACTTAAAATATTTATGCAAAACATTCATTCCTTCAAAAAACAAATGCTCTTATCTTCTGTCTATATTATGTGATTCTTATGATTTTTATGTCTACTGAAAGTTGGTTTATCTCNAATATTTATGCAAAACATTTGTTTCATCAAAAATAAATGCTCTTATCTCCTGTTTATATTGTGTGATTCTTATGATTTTTATGTCTACTGAAAGTTGGTTTATCTCTTTGACTTATATCACAAATTTTATTTCTCTATTGAGTTATTCACATATATGTTTAAAACACATTAATCAAAGAGCTGGAGGAATACTTATTATCTTCTCCTCCATCATTAAAAGTTTATAAAATTTTTGAATATATTGATTCCATTCTTATTTTCAAAATCCCTGATTATAAATGTATTTTATCCATTGTCTAAGTATCTCATCCTAAAAGAATCTCTGTTTTTCAAATCCTTCAATCTTTCTTTTATTATTCCTTCGGGTTTTAAATTCATAACGTGTGGCAATTTTAATTTAACTAATGCTTACTGGAGTTCCTCAGGTCCATCGAATAGCATTTTGGACCTTACAGAAGTTTTATTTTTTAAATGAAATTTTTTACTTTTTTAAATTTAACCGAGATAGTTTATTTTCTATCAAGAGGGAATTCCTATCTGGACATGGTTTTCATTAGTAACACTCGTGCTACCACCTACCTGACCAATGGTTTTCTGTCTGACCACATACCTATTGGCCTAGAAGTTTCTCCCTATTTAAATTCTGGTAAAATGAAGCATTTTCTTAATATGCTTCATTTGGTCCCAAATTAAGTGAAAAAAGTTGTCACCCATCTCTGATCTGTGAATTAGTCTTACCTTAATTCTAACCTTATCAGTATTAATGCAAAGTCTGACATTATTTGTACAATTTTTTTTTATCTATTATACATAATTATTTGCAATTTGTAAAATCGATATTTCAACACAAATGATTTACTTATCTAAAAAACTACATAATTTACTTTGAAAACACTGGAACAAATGGAGAAAATCTGGTAACTCCTGCAATTTTTACTTACACCATATCATCCAAAAAAAAGTATTACTGTGAATGCCATACTTCTTTCCAAAACTATCTTAATAAAGTTACAGCATCTTTTTCATCTGATCCAGGCAGTTTTTGATCTTTTATGCTAATTTTTTCTAAAAGATTACCAAGTAAATTATTTCTTGTTCAAGATGATAATGTTTATAATGTAAACAGTAATTTAAAAAAAAGATTTTTCAGAATACT